ACCACAGATGCATTTCTTATTAATTAGGTATTCTGTGTTCATTGTATTTGCATGTCTAGATTTCATCATGTGGAAGTTCATTTTAGGAGCTTTTGTTCTTGTCAAAGTGACCATTTTAGCTACTATGTAAAATGTAAGCTAACAGGGTCTTGAAGCACTGTTTATCATTTCCTTTTTTTTTTTTTTTTAATGTCTTTGTTAAAGTTCATGTTTTATTTTTGTTGCAGTATTTCACAGGCCTTGAATGTGGACATAAGTTTTGTATGCAGTGCTGGAGTGAATATTTAACTACCAAAATAATGGAGGAAGGCATGGGACAGGTAAAAATGCCAATTTGATTTTCACTTTTTAAAATTTCTTGTAGTGTTTAAATCCTTACATAAATATAACCAGGTAAAAATTGTAGGGTTAAACACATTTTTAATTTTAAAACAGATTTTTAAAAAAAGGCATTGCAATTAAAACTCTAACCTAGGTCACGTTTCTAAGCAGGCATCAAACTCGATAATCTTTCAGACTCACCTTTGCAGACAGTTTTAGCAGCTATTTTGCTTTTAACTTTCATGTTTTATATTGAGAAACCAATTGCAAGGATAGGTTTATACACACATAGAGTCAGAGATAGATATTTTCTGCAAATATTAATCCTCAGAACCTTGCTTGATGCTTGGCAATGATAAGAATCCATTAAATAATTATTGAATTGAAGACATAGTTTAAATTTCACTCTTTTTCAGACTATTTCGTGTCCTGCTCATGGTTGTGATATCTTAGTGGATGACAACACAGTTATGTAAGTATTTTTGATAGATTCTCCATGTTGAATGTTATTTGGTTAAACCAAATTAACTTTGACTTAGTACCTCAGAAAAGGTGACTTTTAAGCTTCTGAAGAGACTCTCTGGCTACCGTTTACTCTTGTTGTAATTCAAAAAGACACTTGCAGTGTGGTGAAGTGCCCAGTCACTATTCTAATAATTTTGGCAATACATGATAACAAAATTTTGGTAAATCTTGAAATTGTAGACTGGATATATCAGTATGTTAATTGATGCCCTCTGGGAAACAGGCTAAGGTAGAATTAGGTAAGAGTTTTAGAGGCTGGACCTCACATATGTTTGTCTAGCATAGGTGAGGCCCTGGGTTTGATTTCCAGTATGTACATACTGGAGAGGAAACTGGCTCATTATGCAAATATGTATGTATGATTAAAAGGAGGAGCAGGAACAGGTATGCTTTCCTTATAAAGAAGAGAAAGAAAGAAGTTTTCAAAAAGAAGAAACTTGGGTTATGATGCAGCTGTGAGAGTCTGGCAGTGTTTTGAGGAACTCTAGCACTTCAGTTTCTCATAGAGGAATGCCTAGGGAAGCAGAATGGCTGAGTTGAAGTACTCTTGTGTTTAGCCACTGGCTGCACTACCTAGGGAGAGTAGTCTCTGCTGAAATATTGCTACTGATCTCAGAACCACTGCAGCTGGAGGGTCAGTCTCTTGGGATGGAAAAAGGAAACTTGGAAAAAGAAGTATAGTGAATTCCTGAGCCTGGGGTAAATCTCAGCTGCTGACACCTGGGTCAGTGCTAATTTTCATAACCTCAAGTTACTTAATTGACTTCTTCCAGGATGCCAAGAGATTTACATTCTTGATTGATCCACAGATTGTATAATTGGTCTTTGGTAATTGCTTATACAAAAAGTTATGTCAGCGCTGGAGAGATGGCTCAGCAGTTAATAGCACTGGCTGCTCTTCCAAAGGACCAGGATTTAATTCCCAGCACCCACATGGAGGCTAATAACCATCCATAACTCCAGTTCCAGGGGATCTGACCTCCCTCTTCTGATCTCCACTGCTATTGCACAATATGGATGCACATATACATATATACATATACATGCAGCAATATAGTCAAACACATAAAATATGAATATTACCAAATAAAAATTTAAAAAAGTTATGTCTATGAAAAAAAGTAGTAAAAGTCAACGCAGCACTGTGTTTTAATGAGCAAATTTATTAAGCTCCAATTTGGGCTGGGGAGATGACTTGAGCACTTGCTACTTTTGCAGAGCACTTGGTTTTGTTTCTTGTCCAATTCCAGGGGATCCAATGCCCTCTTCTAGCTTCCAGGGGCTCCTGCATGCACATGCAAGCAAACACACATAAATAAATGTTTTTTATAAAAGCATCCCAGCACTCGGGAGGCAAGGCAGGCGGATCTCTGTGAGTTCAAGGCCAGCCTGGTCTATATAGTGAGTTCCAGGACATCTGGGGCTAAAGGGAGACCCTGTCTCAAAAAGACCAAAAAAAAAAAAGGCATCAAATTAACTTTACCAGGAAAGTTTATAAACCTTACCAATTCCACTTTAAAAATAATTACATGTATTTGCCAGGCATGGTGGCACATGCCTTTAATCCCAGCATTGGAGAGGCAGAAGCAGGCAGATCTCTGTGAGTTCAAGGCCAGCCTAGTCTACATAGTGAGTTCCAGGCCACCTGGGGCTACAGGGAGACCCTGTCTCAAAAAAACAAAAACCAAAAAACGTATTTATTTTGTAAGTGTCCATGTGTCCCACATCATTCCTGTAAGAGTCAGAGGATAACCTGTGGGATTTGGTTCTCTCCTTCTACCATGTGGGCTCCAGAGATCCAACAAGGGTGGGTTTTTTGGTCTGGAAACAAGTGCCCTTAGATGCTGAGCCATCCTTCTAGCCCCCAGTCTACTTTCTTAACTTTAGTCTACTTTGGTTTATTTGGAGCATATTTACTGCTCTAAATGACTCTTACCAAGCCTGTTTGTCAAATTTCCATTACTGTTTTTGGCTAACCTAAATAAGTAAGTCACCTGTCATCTTGAAGTACAACTATTATTCCTCCACTTTATCTTGTCTTCTGGTGCTTTTTTATCCATTGTATTCTTTTCATCAGTGCATTAGTTTCAACATATATTTCATCCATACAGGTTACTGTCTCCTGTCATATTTCATCTATACAGATTACCATATCATTTCATCCATTCTAGAAATGATGAGGAGTTACTTGCTAGCATATATACAGGGGCACCAAAAAGTTAGAATACAATGCCACCTCCCCTGAGTTCACAATAATAAATTTAAAAGAATATGAAGTAGTGTTACAAAGACAAATTATTCTCATTTAAGAATGAGAAATAATTTGAAAAGGGAGATTCAGACTCAGTGCAGACTCATAAAATGAGGGCTGGAGAGATGGCTCAGCGGTTAAGAACACTGGTTGTTCTTGCAGAGGACCCAGGTTTGAATCCCAGCACTCACATGGCTGTCCGTAACTCCAGTCCCAGGGGATCCAACAGCCTCGTCCGACCTCCATGGGCATTGCACTACACACGTGCGCTTACTTACATGCAGGCAATACACGTGCATACATATAAAATAAAAATAATAGATAAAATTTTTAAAAAGTTAAAAAAGCAACATAAAATGAATAAAAATTAGGGTTGAGGTAGTCTTAGCTAATCCTGGTTAAACAAAGAATGTCAGTATTTTTCAAATAGATGATGAACTTTTCTATTAGGTATTTTGTGGTGGCTAGACCAAAGAGGAGGAGGTTATTAGAGGTGAGGGTGGAAAGAGTTTGACACTTCATAATGAGTTTTTGTCATAGATAGTGGTTAAGACTGTAATATTACATGTATTTTAGAAATACAACTTTGATGTAGTGGGGATTCTTTTGAGTGGGGAAGTTTTTGAGCAATGCAGTGACAAGTGATTAAAGGGTTCTTTGTAGTGTAGGTTAAAGATGGTAGTTTGTCAGTTAAGATTCCAGTGGGAAGCAACTAGAAATAACAGAATTTAGATACCTACTGGTTGTGGGATATGAAATTCTCTAGTATAAATCTGCTATTTTAATATTATTTACTAGTTAGAAACTAGTATTCCTTCGGTTTGGGATCTACTAAGCCGGTAATTAACAGTTAAAGGCATAGGAGAGGAAGCCATTACTCTTGGAAAGAGTATAAAATGAGAAAAGAAAGACTGAGGTCTTAGAGAGTAACATTTAAATGTAGTTGCCAGACACAGTGCTACCTGCCTCTAATCCCAACACTGAAGTGGATGAGGCAGGAGAACTGCAAGTTTGAAGCCAGCTTATGCTACATAATGAAATGCTCTCTATAATTAATAGAGGGAGATTCAGACTCAGTGCAAGACATTTATATATGTAGGTGATACTTTGAACAGTACAGGAGGCAAAGGAATAGAGAATGTCACCAAAATCATATCTCCAGTGATTTCACAGAGAATTATGTCATTTTGGATATTGGAACTTTGTTGTAGTCAAATAAAATGATCAGAGTAAAAATATGTCAGTGCTAGTTAGGTTTAGCAATTTGTCCATTTTCCTAGGTGTATGTAGGATACTGTCCTGGCAGTGTGTTGAGGTAGGCATGTAGGCATCATCTTTCAAGATGTACTGGAGAGTCTTCAAGAGCTCAGTTTGGAAACTCCTTCCTCTGAGTTCAATCCAAGTTTATTTTCATATCTATAATGTGTTACTTGGTAACGTTCTGTTTGGGATAGAACTAGATAGAAAATGGACAAAATACATTTTAATACCTGAGACAAATGTGCCTCATTTCCTTGAAATTATAGGACTCCTGTAAATCATTAAGCAGACGATATTCGATGTGGGGAAGAGTCTGTTAAGTGCTTGCCATACAAACATGAGGACTTGAGTTTGATTCATAGACCCCATACCTTTATTTTTTTTAATTTTTTTATTATTTTTATTTTATGTGTCTGAGTATTGCCTGCATATAGGTAAGTACACCTGTGTCTTGCAGTGCCCATGGAGGACAGAAGAGGCCATCGGATCCCCTGGAACTGGAGTTACAGACAGTTGTTAGCTGCCATGTGGGTGCTGGGAACAAAACCTGGGTCCTTTGCAAGAGCAGTCAGTGCTCTTAACCACTGAACTATTTTTCCAGCCCCTTGGCAGTTTTTAAAAAAAAAATGTATTTTTTGGCCTTTTGGTTATTCCATTGTTTTTGCTGTTTTTGCATCATTTTGTTTCTGATAACATTAACTATTGTTTTTTTCCCTCATACTTAATGCTTAATACAGTTTGACTTTGATTTGTTTAGATGTGGTTCTCTGTTTTTTCTGTGTTCAGCTTTTTGAGCTCTTTGAATGCACAAGTTAATGTTTTTCATAAAATTCAAGAGCATTTGCTTATTCTTTCATGTATGTGTGTATGTTTTAAGATTTGTTTATCTTTTTAAAATGTGTGTATATGTATGTGTCTATATGTGGATATGTGCATGTATGAGGGCAGGTGCTCATGGAGTCCAGAAGGTGTCAGATTTTGGAGCTGCAGCTGCAGGCATTTGTGATCCACCTGATATGAATGCTCAGAATTAAACTTGGGTCCTCCAGAAGATCAGTATTTGTTCTTAACTGCTAAGCATCTCTCTAAGAGCCCCTGTGTTTTCATTTTTTGAGACAGGGTCCCATGTGTCTCTGGTTGACTTCAAATTTGTTGTATAACTGAAGAAATCCTGGAAATCTAATCTTCCTTCCTAACTCCACCTCCCAAATGCTGTGATTACAGGCATGCACACCACCATACCTGACTAGCCCATCATTTCTTAAAAACTCTGTTTTGAGGAGCTAGAGTGTCTCAGTTGGACCTGGAGCTCTATATTTGAGGTAGCTTTGCTTCTCTGCTTGCCTTGGAGATCTCTTCTCTGCCTTATCAGTGCTGAAATTACAGACCAATCAGCCACCCTGACATATGTCCTGGGAGCTGAAATTCTTTCCGTG